TTATTATTATTATTATATATTTTTATATTAATTTGTATTAATATTTATATATTATTATATTTATAATTATTTAAATATTATTATTATGATTATTTATTATCTTATTAATAAATAGTATGTAAATTTATTCTTAAACTCATTCGAAATAACAAAACTCTATTATTATTATTATTAATAGTAATAATTATCAATGAATTGAAAAGAAAGAAAAGCAATAAGCATTGAATGGAGAATTTTCATTGAAAAAAAATGAACGACCGGTCATTTGACCAGCAGCAATCGTACGTTTAGTGTTTAACAAATGAGTTTTCAGAAAGATAGATAGATAGAGAGAGAGAGACATGATTCAATTTGAATAACATTATTGTCGTCTAGCTATTATCTGCCTGTTTAAGAATTACTGGTTCGTACGTGATCTTTTTAAAAAGGAAAAAAAAATAAAGAAAAAAACTACAAGGTTGTCCTTCATTGGTAGAAAATTTTGTTCGCGAATTGTAGCTCGTAAACGGTAACGTCTCGCATTGAGATGCTAAGATGGTACAAGTCGTCGTTCTTACTGTTTGCATAGAGACGCGTGCTGAGCTTATGTTAGATAAAAGTCGTCGGTTCAAGGTTTTTTTTACTTCATATTAAAGGAAATATTAAGTTGATTTATTATTTCTACGACAAATTGTTTAGGAAAAAATAATATATGTTATTTTGTTTTATAAATAAATAAATTTCAGAATCTTATTAAACAACCACTTGACATACAAATGAAATGCGAACGCGAACGTGTTATTTTATTTTGAAATTTACATTGCTTTATTAAATTATCAATAAGGTTGATAATTAATTGATATTTAATTGTATTATTATAAATAATATTAATTTTAATTTTATTTATTAATTATATTTCATTAATAATATTTATATTTTATTTAAATAACATTCAATAAGAATGATAATTAATTGATATTTAAATTATTATATATATATATATAATAATATATAAATTACATTTGAATAATATTATTTATATTTTATTTAAATAACATTCAATAAGGTTGATAATTAATTAAGTAATACTATAAAATAATAATTGAATAATTTTGTAACGTGTGATGATACATCATAAAGCAGAAACAGGCCAAAAACACTTTTTGACATTTTGCAAACGTCAAAGTCTATAATGACACATGAAATAATAAATGACGTCTCTGAGACGTCATTGTATGTCAAGTGGTTAAATATATTATCTTACGTAATTATTCGATACAATATTAAATCAAAACAAAGAATATTTTCTTACATGAAATTTTTTATTCAAAATTTTCAACGGGTTCAAATGAAGCATTCATTTGAATACTTGTAACATGGTTGTTTTGAAATAGTTTCGAACTTTAACATAAAAACAATGATTTCTTTTTCTTTCATAATGATGAATATCTTGAAGAAAATGTTTTCTTTTTACGATTTTCATGTAGGAACGTAAAGGGGAACGTTATCGATTACGAGTCGTGATCGACGAGCTGCAGAAAGCTACGGCCGAAGATTACCAGACAGTATTGCTGGCATTTATCAACTGTTTGGTTATTTCAACGCCAGAATTGAAAGATCGCATACGGATTCGCAACGAGTTTATCGGTAAGAACCAAGACGAAATTAAAAAAAAAAAAGATCTTTAAATTGGTTTGTTCAAAGAAAATCGATAGACCTAATCGATCAATATTTACAGAAAAGACAAAATTTGTAAATAATTTAACACGTTTCGTGCCACGTGTACCATCGGTGGTACCATTTACCATTTGACATATTTATTTAATGCGCTGAATATATATGTTTATAACAAATTTATAATATTGATATATAATTTCAGTTTTTTTTTTTTTTTAACTATAATTTAAGATATATATATTTTATTATATATATAATATTAATTTATAATTATGTAATATTTATATATATTATAATATTAATAATAATATTAATAATATATATAAATATATATATTTTAATATTATATTTTTTTTTATAATATATATTATTATATTTATACTATATATTATATATTTTAATATGTAATATGTATTGCGTTGCGTATAATAAAATATATATAATATTACATTTAATATATTATCAATTATAGTTATATTATATATTATTAATATATATATAAAATATTGATGCATTATACAAAATACAGTATAGTACAAAGCACATAGGTTTATTTAATTGTTATATTTACAAAAATTAATAATTACACGTAATGATTAAATTTGTTAAAGTAGAATTAAATGACCTGAATGACAAGTCAGGTAAAAAAAAAAAAGGGCTTGGCATGGAACGTGTTAACGAACAGTTTCTTTTTCCTTTTGTAATTTCTATTAAAAAATGTCTAATAATATCGTTTGAAAATAATCACAATTTTGTATCATATGATTAATCGCTTATGAAGAATGATTTAAGAAGGTTAATGATATGCAACGTTCCAGGCCTTAAACTACTCCCAATCCTGAACGAGCTGCGGTGAGTAAACGCTTCTTCGACGACCTGGATTCATGGTATTAACTAATTAACACTTTAACATTGTGGAATAATAAATAATCATGAGTGTTACGAAAGGGCGCTTTATTGTACCCACACCTTATCTTATAATTGCACGTTTTTCATTCGCCCAAGTAAAGCAAACTCTTCGTCGTTGGATTAATAAACGGATTTCTTTTTTCTTACCTTAGATCAATTTAATTAAACAAGAAAGAGAAAGGGAAGAGAGAAAGAGAGAGAAAGAGAGAGAGAGAGAGGAAATAAAATAAAATTCTAATAATTTGAAAAACGTTGCATCGATGAAATAGCACGTTCTGCATATTGCATGTGCACTAATCCAAATAATCCAACAATTAATAATAAATTTCATTGGACGAAGGCAAAATCTCGTTGTCAATTCGCTTCGGTAACTTTCATCTTATTGTTTAGAAAAGAACAATAAATCTAATTAGAAACGATGGGAATTCGTTCTTAATAATAATAACAATCAAAGAGAAAGGATTTTCATCTTAACACGTTGCTAATACATTCAAATACACAAACATATATATATATATACACATACACACATAGTATTATACGTATTTAAAAAATCAATATTAAACATTAGAAATAGAGAAAGAGAGAGAGAGAAAGAGATAGACGAAGATCGAACAAATCGTGGCGCCAATGTGCAAGAAATAGAATAGAATATGTAGAGACATGACGTTTATCTCTCTTGTTCTCTTTCTCTGTTTGTAATTTTTGGAATTTTTCTCTTTCTTTCTCTCTTCACATTCTCAGTAAACGACGAGAAATGGAGAGAGGGAGAAAGTGGAAAGAGAGGGAGGACGAAGAAAAGGAAGACGAATAAAAAGGCCCCGAGTGTTGTAAGGGTTGGAAAGAGATAGATGGATAGTGCATGTTGCGAGAAAGTGATAGGGAGAATGAGAGTGAGTAAACGAGAGAGAAAGAGAGAGAGAGAGAGAGAGAGGAAAGCCCGAATTAACTCTCCGGGCTCCTGGCATGGCGCATGGTGCACCTGCGACTGACTGCATCTTCTGTTGCACTGGAGCAAAGGCTACGTTGCCTTCGGAGGATCCGTGAAGGAGCATCGCGTTTATTTCGTATTTAATATATATATACATATATATACATATATATATATGTATATTTACGGGTTTTGTTAAAACTAAGAGATAAACATACAATTGTATTTATTTTATATATTTTTTTTTTCTTGTTTAAAAACAAACGTCCGTTTCTCTTTTTATTTTCGTCATTTTTTTCTTACGTCTCCGTTTTTCTTCTTTTTTTTTTGTTTTGTTTTATATTTTGTGTTTCTTCCAATTAACAAGAACTTTCTTCGCTCTGGAAGAGAGAGAGAGAGAGAGAGAGAGAGAGAGAGTTACGTTTTATTTTTTATCTTCTTCTTCTTTTTCTTCTTCTTGTTGTTGTTGTTGTTCTTCTTCTTCTTCTTCTTCTGAAAGATCCATTCGAGGATCAATCAACGATTTAAAGGAACGGTAAGGAAGAAGAAGAATCTAAAAAGTGTGACAAGTTTCAAGACAATTGGTGTAATACAATGAAAGAAGATTTCAAAATAAAAAAAAAAGAAACAAAAAGAAAGGATAATAATTAACATGTGATATAATAATATGGATAGATAAAATGGAAGAGATATTCATTTATTAAGAATTGTTAAGTGTTATGGTATAATATTAATCGATTAGTTTGATGGTGTTTCGTAGTGTCGTAAAAATAATCAAAGAAGGATTTCATTTGTATCGAGTTAAATACGTCAAACCCATGGTTTTAAGGATACTATCGCGACAAAGTAAAAAAAATTACATACATTGGATTGGCAAGAAAGTAATTTAGATTTTTTAGTGTGAAATAAATTGAAATAAAAATCTATTGTTTTTATACAAAAAAATGAACTTTAACACTTTGCACTCGAGGACTCTGCTACGTAGACAATAAAATACAAATAAAAATTGAAACAAATTTAATTCAGTTAACAACATATCACACAACTATGATTTTTCTTTTAATTATACATATGTCATTTATTTATAATACGTGAATATGATTTTTTTTTTTGTTTTTTTTTTTTCTATTAAAATTGCTTTGTAAATTGTTGATAATATGTCAAATGAAAAATATAACTTTGAGTGCAAAGGCTTCAATTAAACAACTACAAAATTCTAACAACACATTAACAAAGGAATAATCAAACAACCATAACGCAATCTATTGATGCAAGCCGAAATTACTTTCTTGCCAACCCAATAATATAAGAAACTTGGGAGGGTGAGAGGTAGGGATGAAAAAGGGAAGCTCAATAAACGATACAGTGAAAATACGGTTGACTGATAAAAAAAATAGAAAAAAGTAAATTAGACAAAAAGGAAAGAAATTGATCAAACAAATTGAAAGAACATGAAGAAAACTTTTGGGGTGGGGGATGAAAAAGGGAATTTGATAAACGAAAGGAAAGAATTAATCAAAAGAGGAGATAGAAGAAGATCACGATGAAAATGGGCTTCTGGATCCTTTTACTGATCCGTATAGTGTGTTAGCATTCCGTACAGTGAGTGACTCATGGTCGCACTCGGCGTGCTGTTCTCTCTTTATGTTTTATTCGCTTGGTAAGATCGATGGCGGATTTGGACTGGCATGGATATTTTCGTACTTACTTTCCTCCTCCTCCTCCTCCTCCTCCCCCTCCTTCTTTTACTGTGTCTAGAAAGCTCTGGAAATTTCTTCTAACGTTCTGGACAATATGTCCTGTTTACTTGTCCCATCTTCTCCCAAATATATTTGAGAGAAGGATTTTGACTCACACCCTCTTCCTTCTTCATTCTTCTTTCATCAATTAATTTTTATTTCGTTTTTTCCCCCTTTTTCTTTTTTTCTTTTATTTCCTTCTTCTTTTAGTGTCCAACCCCCTTCTCGTTCTTTCTTTCCTTCATTCGTTCATTCTTTCTTTCTTTCTTTCTTTCTTTCGTGTTTTTTCTTTTTTTTTTCTTTTTTTTTTTATTCTCGTTGTTTTTCTTTAGGAATAAAATTTCTTCTCCTCCATCTCTTTCTCTCGCAACGATGTTTCGAGCTTGTCGTGCCTATGCTCGACGAGGAAAACTATTTCCGTGCACGCTCGTCGACGGCATAGATATATTCTCGTAGCTCTTGGAACTTTCCACGTAAAATTCATATAAGCCTAGGCCCCTGGTAGCCCGATTTATCCCGAAAACGTTCAATCTTATAAATCGAATTATTAGATTCTTAATTCGTCAATATGATTTTCTATTTTGATGCACAAATTTTCTATCAATTCAAATTTGCCGCCGTCAAATACGTTTGACTTCTATCAAACATCCCTTTTTTTTTTAAATGAAGTTTAATTTGTCGTAGTGTACATTTAATATTTTATGTTGTGTGTATATTGAAATAAAATTGAATACATAGATCGATGAACTCTTCTTCTATTCTTAAGTATTCAAATATTTCAACCATTACGAATATTTCCTATTCTATCTGACGTCAGATTTATTTGAACATTCGAAGCAAAGTTTTACGCTGAATACCAAATCCCATTCCTCAGTTTTTTCTTTTTTATTTTTTTTTTTATTTACTCAACTATGTCACTTAGCAGTGACTGTCCGAATAACGTCAGCATCATTCTACTTGAAAATGATTATTATAATAATTAATTTAGATTAAAAAAAATGTTATTTTGTCAAGATTTCAAATGTGTAAGTAAGTAAGTAAGTAAGTAAGTAAATAAGGAATACTTTGCATGATAGAATTTCTCAATGTTCATAGAGGTGTCTTGAAACGCGGAAGGACGTTATGGTAAAGTTTAAAACGTCATGACAAACACGTAACACGTAATCGACACTCCCACTACGTAAAGAAAGAAACGAATAACGGGCCCGAATGATTTTCGAACGGAAGCGCCATTATTGTTTCTACTCGCGCGTCTTTATCATTAAAACGTTCATACACTGTCGAATAATATTACAAATGAAACATTTTAAATTGAACAAATAAAAAAGAAGAAAAAAAAAAAGAACTTTGACTTTTCGTTGGTATTTTAAAGTATAGTGACAAAGTTTCATTTGAAAACATTTTGTTGAAAACTTTTGCGAGTTCGCATTTTTTTGTCTACGGGGGTGCGCAGTGGGGGTTGACGATGAGGAAGAAAAAAAAATAATACAAGAAAAATGTGAGACGGTCGTWGWRWAMKRAAAAAAARAAAAAAAAAAAAAAAAAAAAMAARAAAAAAAAARAAAWAGGAAATATTTCTAAAGAAAGCTCTCTGTAAAGTCAGTCAGTCTCGGTTCTTACTAGTCGGAAATAGCGCCGGTCGACGAAAATGTAAAATCTTAAAATGTTCACGGATCAGGAAGATGACGATTGTTCTTACAGGAAAAGCCACGCTCCGGATCTCAGAGTACAATTGGATGTTTTCGACGATCAACGAGAAAGCGACGAAGTATTATCGAACAACGGACCACCGGAAATTGATTTGTCCTCGCACGTTGATGTATTTTATGCTATTCTTGGACAGGTTAGTCAAATTAATAATACTTTTTATTATTATTATTATTATTATTAATTTTACACGCTCAATTATTCGATGAAATAATAAAGTAAAGGAACAAATATAAAATTGTGAATGTTCTTCAGATCGCAGACACCCCACAGGAAATACCATTCTTAAGTATTCTCCAGCATCTGTTGCGACTGGATCCAAAAGATGCTGCGAGTGATTTAGCGTGGGACACAGCTGAAACCCTTGTCCATCGTGCAACATTATTGGAAAGTCGAGAGGACGTCACGAAATTACTAAGATCACCTAGTCTTCAAGTAAGTACGAATACGATAATTCTTTTMTTTTCTTTTTTTAATCTTAATTTATCGATTAGTATTTGCGTCGCGTTTATGTCATTTCAAAACTTTCGCCAATTGCCCAATAGAATCGTACGAAGTGGGCCAAAAATTTCACGATTTCTCGTGTGACAACCATCAAATTGTCGTTTCGTAAATTCCTTGGGTGATTTGCAATATTTTTCGAATTAAAGAACGTTTGAATATAAAATCGACTTTACAAATGAAAAAAAAAAAAAAAACATTTATCGCGGTTTTGATTTCGAATAAAAATATGATTTATTGATTACAACATGGTTTAAATATAGCGTTATCTTTTCCAGACTAATAATCTATGCTGTCATTGTCGAGGAAACGATCAGACGTGCGGTACGTCTCGAAAAGCGTCACTTCCGGTGAGCAATACAACCGCACCGTTGACATCAGCAACGAATACGTCGGTAACAACAACAACAACAACAACACCGCCTAATCCACCCCCTAGTACTGCTTTCATATTGCCACCACCACCTCCCCCACCGCTCTTTATTACACCGAGCAACTCGAATGCACCAATGGAACCACCATTGCCACCACCGTTACATGTGCCGCAAGTTACTCGTGCGCCTACTCCCGAAGTACCCAACAATCATGCGAGATTACTTCCTCAACAGGAGACACCTACTCCGAAAACTAAAATGAAAACTATCAATTGGAACAAGATTCCTAATCACAAGGTATTGCAATTTTATAATCTCTGTGTTGTCTCAAGTCATACTTTGAAAAGTAGACATTATAATTATTATTGATCGACAGGTGATCGGCAAACGAAACATATGGTCGTTGGTTGCAAATGAACATCAAAATCTTCCCAACGCGGATTTAGATTGGGCCGAGATGGAAGGGTTGTTTTGTCAGCAAGTACCACCTATGATGCCACCGGTAACTTGTTCATCGACGTTTGGAACAGGCATGGATTCTGAAAAACGTCGACGAGAACCAACCGAGGTAAATCAATTTTTATATGATCAATTAATTCATATATCTCTAATCTTTTTGACTTTTATTTAGATCGCTCTGCTAGATGGAAAAAGAAGTTTGAACGTTAATATATTTCTTAAACAATTTCGAAGGTACGCGACTGAGATGATTTAATTAACATTTGTTTTCAGATTTATGATAAATACTTTCATTACTTTTAATTTCTTTTTGTCGTTTAATTTTTAGTTCGAACGAGGATATAATTCAATTGATAAAAGATGGCGGACACGACGACATCGGTGCGGAAAAGTTACGAGGTTTATTGAAGATTCTACCCGAGGTGGATGAATTGGAAATGTTGAAAAATTTCGATGGCGACAAATCTAAACTTGGAAATGCCGAGAAATTTTTTCTTCAACTAATTCAAGTACCTAAGTAAGATATTTCAATATTTATAGATCTTGTTGACGTTTCGTTTAACAATATTAATAAAATTATTATTTTTATTTTCATTAGTTACAAGCTAAGAATCGAGTGTATGCTATTGAAGGAAGAATTTGCAGCAAATATGAGTTACCTGGAACCGAGTATAAATTCGATGATTTTAGCTGGTGAAGATTTAATGACTAACAAACCACTTCACGAGGTCCTTTACATGGTTCTGGTTGCTGGAAACTTTTTAAATTCAGTACGTATCTTTAATAAAGATATACATTTTGTATTCATTTATATTATTCGTATCTCAATTTCATTGAAAATGTTGTATTTTTCAGGGTGGTTATGCGGGAAATGCAGCTGGCGTTAAATTATCTTCCTTGCAAAAGTTAACCGAAATTCGTGCTAACAAACCGGGAATGAATTTAATACATTACGTCGCTTTGGTAAAATAATCATGAATTATTTTTCTTAAAACTATTTTTTATACAATTATATTTATAATTTATTTCTTCTATTTTTCCCTTTGTTTTCATCTTGTCAAATCAGCAAGCCGAAAGGAAACGAAAGGATTTGTTGAATTTTGCCAAAGATATGAGTGCTTTGGAAGGAGCTACTAAGTAAATAAATATTGTTAAACAATAAAAAAAATAAAAATTTATTACAAATTTTATATAAATAATTTCATTGGCAAATGATTTACAGAACAACGATTGAACAATTGAACAACGAATTCAACTCGTTGGACACAAAAATCAAGAAGATCAAAAATCAAATTCAATTGCCATCAACTGAAAGTGATATTCAAGAACAAATGGCACAATTTTTACAAGTAATCATAATTTTTGAATGTATCATAAAATCAAAAATTCGATTGTATCATAACGCGTGATTTGTATTTTCAGATGGCCGAACAAGAAATGGCACAATTGAAACGTGACATAGAAGAATTGGAAAACGTTCGACGAACGTTAGCTGAATTTTTCTGCGAGGACACGAATACTTTTAAAATAGAAGAATGTTTTAGGGTATTCCATCAGTTTTGTCAAAAATTTAATCAGGCTGTCGCGGAAAATGAAAGGCGAAGGATTCAAGAGGAACAAATATTGGCAAGGCGAAAACAACGGGAAGAACAATTAATGGCTAGAAAGAGATTACGTAAGTTATTTATTTATAACAACAATTTTTATTATTACTTACCTTTATAAAATATCTTCAATATTATTATTATTATAGTCTACGGGAAAATTCTGTCCATTTTTCAAATAAAATAATAAATTATTCCTAATTTGAACAATTAATTAATTAATTGAATTACTTATGAACTCTTGCCAACATGGTCGCAATTATCCCTAGTGACGAAAAATTGAACTAATGTTTGTTTGAACGGACAGAATTTTCAGGTAGACCTAATATTAATAAATAGTAATAATACTATATAAATATAACATAAGTAATATTAATAAGTATAGAAAGGTTAATAGAAAAAATAAAAGTAATTTGTTCTGTGCAAAGTTCAAAACTTTTCAACCCATCCATATAAATAATATTAAAATGTTTAATTACAAAAAAAGTAATATTATAAAATTCCTTACCTCGTTAATTTCAATCCAATGTATATTAATACAATTTTGTACAAACGTATTCCACAGTAAGTAACCAAGCAGAAACACCTGGTTCCGAATCCGAATGTAATCTAATGGATTATGGCCTTCTTGACCTCCATACTGGTTTACCTCAAAGAAGTTACAGTCGTAGCGAAGCAAAGGTATAATAATTATGATCTAAATAATGAATACAAAATGATGATAATAATTTTGACAAAATTTCATATCAATTTAAGATCAAAAGGTTACAAAACGGTGTTGTTACCTCGGACGACGATGTTTCCATTACTGGTTCACCAAACATAAGACGAAGATTAGGCTCGTGTTCTGGTGGTCCTGAACAACAGTCTACCAAAGAAGATACTTATTCTCCAGGTTTGTTTTTAATATTATCTATATTTTGTATTGTTCTTTTTGATTGTTTGTATCAAATTTTTGTATATGAAATTTGAATAATATTTAGACATAACACCAAACGGTACCCTTCGTCGAAGAAGGAGTCGAATACCGTGTGAAGATGATGATGGTAATTTAATGGATTTTCTCCGAACTTCCGGTCAAGAGAATACTCGTGAAAGAAAATCCTGGGGTAGTTTAGGTACGTTCAACATTAAATGTTTCATTAATTTTATTAACGCGATACAAATTTACGTTCATTTGAATTTTCAAAATAGATCGATCATGGGCTAGAAGAGCACGCGGCCAAACGCGAAGAGGTGATCTTTTGAATGCCGATTTTTCGGCTGATCGTGAAAGACCAAGTTCACCATCACCTTTAGCCGAAAGCAAACCATTTTTACAAGAAGAGGAAGCAAAGCCAGGGTATACAAAAATGAACAATAACTCAATTCAAAAATCTTCATTTCTTTTCCTTACTTTTGTATTTGTAAATTAATCGTATTGGTGCGGGGGTTGAAAAAAAAAAAAAACAACAGGAAAGCATGGAGACAAAAAATCGAGGCTTGGCTGTCAGAAAACGAGAAGGAAGATCGTGCGGGAGAAGAACTTCAAAGAAAGGCCAGACAATTGCGTCAAGCAAACCGAAGGTCCTTCGAAGACTCAGGTTAATAATTTCAATGAAATTTGTTAAAAAGAATCTCTCTCTCTCTCTCTCTCTCTCTCTCTTCCATTGAAAAATATTATAAGATTGATTAATTTATATTTTGTGTATTATAAATATAGAAAGTGAAGGCAAGAACTCCATCAGGAATACCCTGGCTGAAGACGATTCTATGCACGAAGGTTATTCCGAAGTTTACGACTGGCGGCCATCCGTAGAAAAAACGGATGTTATGCGCACTATGGAAGCAATCGAAGGTACACTTCATCATACATATTCCTATTTGGAATACAAGTTGCAACGAGATATTCCAGTATTTCCACTTCTTTTAGAAGCCCAACCGAACCCATCGCAGAAAGACAAATCACCTTGGCGAAAGTCAAGTTTGAACGTACCAAATAGCATGGAAGAGACTGATCCACGTTATTCTCGCAGGCTAAGATCCAAATTAAGTATTGAGAATATTCTTGCTCCTAGTCCGTTGCAAGTAAGTATTCATTTTATAGAAATAATATCTCTTACACGAGTAAGTGCCATTTTATTTCACAATTCTTTTTTTTTTTTTTTTTTAAATATTATTGAAATATTTACATGCTTGTTAATACTATCGAACATATCACGTGATCCATTGAAACTAAATAAACTAGTTAATAAGATCGGTGATAAACTTAATCATTTTTCTTATCATAATAATCTAGGCAATCAGAGAAGAGGACAGAAAGAAGAACAAGATCAGCGATGCGATTAATGCGAACACTCCGGACGAATTAACTATTTATCTTCGGCAACCTTATACGGGCTCGCAAACTTCAAATACCAGAAGATTCTCGAAAATTGTTAAGAAAAGTAATAACGAGGATGAGAGCAGCAACATCAGTGACAAGATTGAAATTGATTCGGATAATATTGAGACACCACCGGCAACCAGACGACTTATCAGTCCACCTAAGGAGGTTAAACCGGTCGAGAAAGAACCTTGTAAACGAGAAAGATGCAGTAGTTCTCTTCAAAATCGAGAATCTAAGACTGTTCCGTTGAAACCTGTTAGCGTAAATGCTGATCTTGGTACCGGTACGTTAACTTGTTACGATTATCTTTTATTTGACATTGATTTATCTATTCTTTGCATCATTAACTAACCCTGATTTCGTATCCCTTATCTTACCTTAATTTTCTTTTAATATACCTTCATTTTATCCCGAACTGGATTTCCATCCAGTTTATTAATATTATTTTTTCCTTTTTATTTAGATTTTAATTTACTTCCCAATGAGAATATTTTACGACTGGAACGACATTTTTTTTTTTTGTTACCCTTAAACTCGTTCAATATATATATTTGTTCTTTTTCTTTTTGTTCAGGAAATTTCGATAGATACTCAGCGACAAGGAGAACAAGAAGATATAAAAAGATGTCTGATCCTACGGAGAAAGAGACAAAGAAAGAAGAACCGATAATAGGTCAACAGCAAATCTTTGAAGAGAAAGCAACCGAACGGCCGAGTACTTTGTCACTGGTCGAAGATGGACAAGAGGAAGATGCGATGCTTCGAGTTTGGCAGGACAAATTGAAACGTTCGGAAGTAACTACGACGGAGAAGATCGATGCTGCATTGGCTGAAATTGCACGATCTGGCGAAGATCTTCAACATTTGTCACGTTCGAGTGTTCAAAGAAATTCCAGGCTACCTGTGAGTCAACCACCTCCTGTGGTCGCTGTTACCAATACAGTTTTGAGTCCAGTGATGCAAGAATCCAGGCCGAGGGAACCAATAACGATCTTAACCGAAAGGGCAGTCAGTAGTCGTGAACGTCACAGAAGTATGATTGATCCAAGTCAAGTGAAGGAAGCTATCAGAGTGACTAGCAGCCCACCAAGTCAAATCAATCAAAGTCCGATGAGGAATTTAACCTGCGAGCAGTCGGATCGTAAGATCGTAGAAGATAACGTGATCTCGATCGATCAAACAGATCTGAATGAAGTCTCTTCTAACGTGGATACTGTTTTAAAGAATGAATCCAATGAAGAAATCGAAACGATTAATAACGATCCACCTAAACAGAATTCCATGTTCAGAAATAGGTTCATTCCTGATATAAACGTAACCAACGCATCATCCTTATCTTTAGGCTCGACGGTTAAAGGTAGAGATCAGGAATTGAACGACGAAGGTTTTGAGGAAACCCAAAGCCTAGTCTCGGAATCTTTAAGTCAAGAAACATCATCCGGGAATTATGAAACCGACGCTCACGATTCTACGCGATATTCTCCAGCTGAGTTACGTTATGGTGGGACTATAGTTAGCCAATGTCGACCTAACGACGAGGAAGAAGAGGAAGATGTACGACATATAATCAAGGAACCGGCGGTTAAAACTGTCTTCGCTAAGACTACAGTTTCTACAGTTAGAGCCACGAACAATGATAAAAGTTTTCTACCCAAACGTACAACTAATAATATTAAACGTGAAACTAATAGGAAAGTTGAGTCATTAAAAAGGAATCCTACGGTAATGGCATCGAATGTTAGAAACGAAGTTGAACGTTCCGGTTCTCGTAGTAGTCTACGTAGCTCGAGAAGTTCATTGAACAGTGCTACCTCGGTTAACACTGTACGAAATTTGGCACCCTCTCATGCGCATCTTCGTAGTTACACGTCCGCCATTCGTGCTTTGACCAATGACCTCAGGAAAAGTAGTCCTTCTAATACACCTTTACCACCAACTGTGGTAAAAAAGGATAACGATAAGAGACGCGTAAATCCACGTATTGCAGTGACGAGGATTCCTGCAAGTAGAAGCAGTAGCAGTGGTAGTAGCGTTGGTCCTGTTTTAAAAAACGTTAGAAAGACAAACAATGTAAGTGCAATCCTATTAATTAAATCTAAATAATATCAAATATTATAATGAATGTATTTCAATGAACAGGCAATAGTAGAAACGATCTCGAAGGTGAATAAACCTCGAACGATCGCTTCTCGTAGCAGTAGCAGTGGTAGCAGCATAGGACAACAATCAACGGTGTCTTGTCAACCTTCTGGTGAAAAAGTAGCACCTGCCAAGAGTCGATTGATCCAACCTCGTGCTGGCTCGAAAAATCATAGTTTCATGAGGCCAACAGCTTCCAGTGCTAGTAAAGGTTCTATCCCGAATCTTCCAAAAAGTATCAAAGGCTTGATCAAATGAATTATTTCTTAATACGTGGTAATAATATCTCTTCTTATTAACGTTCGAAGTTTGTTGTTTCTTTTTTTTTTTTCTTTTTTTTTTTTTTCTAAAGAACCATACGAATATTCGCGCAAACGTAAGTACGAACCACGTCGTGTGGTTCGATTAAAATAAAAAAAAAAAATAAAAAAAAAACATAAAATAAAAGGACAAAAAAAGAGAGAGAGAGAGAGAGAGAGAGGTACCATTTCTTATTTTACAATTAGCGTACAACTAATGTTATTATCGTATAACAAAAAGGAAATTCTAATAAACGATAAAGACGTATTGTATACGAGAAAATAATCAAATATATTTACAGTTAGTAACTCGTTGTAAAATCATTTTTTTTAGATCAAGGAAAGTGGTAAGGAACCTTTAGGGTATTTCTATCGAAAGCTCCGTAAACAGTTAGCACGCTTTATTACGCTACTGGTTTACGCGATAAGGAGCTTTCCTTTCAGTCACCCAGATAATCTAGAAATTGTTCTAATATAAATTGTAACATATGTTTCGAGACTAACGTACTTTCTGTGCGATACAATATCATTTGTATTGTTAACATAAATAAACGATTTGTAAAAAATGCTCTCGTTACTATTAGATTAAACATGACGAATACATTATCAAAAAGAGAGAGAGAGAGAGAGAGAGAGAGAATGAGAGAATGAAAGAATGAGAGATCGTCGATAACAATATTATACTACTATTACATCCTTCAATATATCAAAATATAAAAGTTTACATGTTGGTCTATCGTAGAAGTGATTATGTTGAACGGTTAAAATAAATATCAATTTTTGTTGGTTCTTTCTTTTGTAAAAGTAAAAATATGATTGACACGCGTTATAGATTATTTATATATATATATACATATATATATATATATAAATGTGTGGGATTCGTGAAGAAAATTGGACCATTGAACGTATCAATCAAATCCTTCTTTCGATTTCCGAATAACTGTTTCAACCTTTGAACTGTTCATATGAATCCTTCGATTAATTTTCTCACGAATATTTATTTTATTTGGAATAGAGGTACTCGTGATCCCACATATATTATATATACATATATATACATATATATATATATGTATATATTGCACTTGACACTCAACATGCTTACTCATACGATAATCGAGTGACATTATATCTACACATTACACGTTAATATTATATGTATATGTATTTATATTATATACACACACACACAATGATAGATTCTCTCACACTTACAAGGTGATACATCGTACAAGTAGTAAAATGAAAAATCGTTTAGCGACAACAAAAATGAGATACCTTTGAGACGAGATCTCCTTGGGGGTAATGAGATCACTTGGATGCTACGAAAGTCCTTGAAAATGATTTCTTCGACCCTTAACGATAACGACAGGCAACTTCCTTTCCCGACGTTTTATTTTTTACTTGTTATTCTTTTTTTCATATTTCCCGTTTCCATTATCTCTCTCTGTTTAATTGCAGGACACCACACTTCGGCTTATTATACCGACGTATAATCTTCTCACATTTATCTCTATGAAATCTCGCCTTAACTATCGTACTGACGTACATACGTTAGACTTAATTATAAGGATCGTTTTACTTGAAATTATACAAAAATATGTAATTTATATATATAAATTATAGGAAGATAATCGATAAAGTAAAAGAAAAATCTTTAATTCAACAAGTTGAATAATTTAAAAACCGTTCTAGGAATTCGAATGATTTGATTGCATGCGAGAAGATATGCGTCAATGTTTGAAACAAAAAAATAAAAATAAAAATACAAATAATAGACAAAGTTAAACGATCCTAATTAGTCTTAGAAGATAATAGATAATTTATTATTAGAACGCTCTTAGAATATTAACCTTTGCACTCGAGATGCATTATTACATGAGTTATAGTTGTTGTTCTCTCGTACGTACATACGTTCGTTCGTTCGTTCGTTCGTTCGTTCGTTCGTTGATTTAATTAAAAAAAAATAAAAAATAAAAGAATAGCAATATTACGAAAACACATTGATAGAGAATTGTTAAATCAATTAATATATGATTCGTCGAGTGCAACGAGTTAAAAATATTGCCAATTAAGCACACACATAAAAAAAAAAAAAAAAAGATATGTTTTTTTTTCTTCTTCTTCTTTTTTATAGATCATTCAATGCAAATGATAATAAACGTCGTCGAATGCTTAAACATTATTTTGTCGGGCTTATGTTAAATATAAAACATACATATANTATATATATATATATATAAACGCGATTTGGGGCAAGGCGTTCGTTTTCGTTTGGTCTTCTTATTGTTCGATTTCATTTTTGTTTTTGTTTTTGTTTTTGTTTTTTCATACCACTTCCACGCGATCTCGAAAACCGAGCGAGACCGGACTTTTCGGTGCGAGGATAAACTCGAACTGTAGATCGAGTTTATCGTTTACTATGATTTCGAATTCTCGAACGATCTGCGAAAATTTGAAAAAAGAAACACAAAAGGAAAAGATTACTCACACAATTCTGATTTATTATTTTTGTAATTTTAATAATCCGTTTACACGCGATGGTATTTGTTTTGTTTTTTTTTTGTTCTTTTTATGGTTTTCAGCTTATTTGGGAAATTAAAAAAAAAAAAAAATTTCTACTTATATATATATAATTGTCGACTATCTTGAAAGAAAATGATCTTTCGACGCGATTGGAAATTTGTTCAAGGTCTGATTTTTATCGACATTCCATGATCATTAATAATTTTCTTTCGAAATTGTTTAACGCTTGTTTAACGAAGGACACAAGAAGTACAATGATAAAAAAAAAAGAAAAAAAAGAAAAAGGAAAATTAATGCAAATTTTGTCCTAGTTGTTAATCGATTTTTCTTTGTTGAAAAACAAACAAAGAAAAGAAATATCAACACGGAATTTTGTTCGTAAAAAAGAAAAAAAAAAATATTGTAGAAATGTTCAAAAAAAAAAACAAAAAAAAAAAAAAGAAAACTGCATTATAATATATTAGATGATATTACGGGAGATGCGAGGAGAAGGTGAATTATAAAATAAGCAGGTAAAAAATGTACGTACGGAATCACGTATTACTGTATAATTACGAACCTTAGCTAGGATAAGTTGTAGAGCAAGTTCCACAAAGCGTTTGCCTGGGCAGATTCTTCGACCAGAACCGAAAGGAGCTACCAGTAATGGCGAATGTGGTACCGTAGGATTCAGCCATCTTTCAGGCTCGCATTTGGACGCATTCTTAAAGTTATTCTCGTCTAATCCAGCTACCCATGTATGCAAGAGAACTACCGTCTGGGATGAAGAAGATAGAAGAAAAGTGAAGACTTTAAGTACAGTTCCGATTAGTTAAGTTTTTAACCGTATTTGAAATCTCTGTAATCAAACTATCGTTGACTTTAACAATTGGAGAATTGAGACAAAATATTTACTTACCCCAGTATCGAGATGATAACCGTCCAATTCGATAGGTTCGTCTAAGATTCTTGCGATGCATGGTGCAGTAGGAACGAGCCTAAACGATTAAAGTAATATTTTGCAAATTATTTAATTATTATTTAATACAGTGATTCTTAACCTTTTCGAAGTTACGGAACATTTTTAATTGGAAAGAAAATTTGCTAAACACCAAAATCATTAAGACGATTAAGATCATAGAACTAATAATAAAATGTACGTTAAACATTTAACTTTTATTAATATTGGAAGTTATATATATATATATATATAGGTTATACATTACACATAACAATAATATAATACAACATATATATTTAACATTTAATTATAGATATTATAAAGATAATAGGATAATTATAAAAATATAAAATATTCATTTAAAAATATTGTATTAATAAAAACTGTTGTAACTTTTAATTCTTTTCTAAAATTGTATTTCGTCAATTTTAGTACGATATCTGAGCTACTTTTTTAAGCTATTTATTATCTGAGATATTTACTAATTAGGTATAATATACATTGGAACTTTCATCAAATTTTGCGAAACACTTGTAACAAGTCCATGAAACATCGGTTAAGAAGCACTGATTTAATAGATAACATTTCTTTAAAGTTATTTACCTGAACGCTTCGGTTATACATGCACGCAAATAACGTGCTTTTCGAAGATCATCAACGGTCAGATCGCAACCTGGTGGTGCCAATAACATGGCTTCCTCGTAAAGGGTCTGTTGTACTTTTGGATTACTTCCTATCATGTGGAAGAGAAAGACTAAGGTATTACCCAACTGTGAACAAATGAATTAACAAAATGTCATCATAACATATAACATTTTAAATTATATTGTTAACTTAATGATATATATTTTATTTTTCAAATTATAAAAAAAAGTACGAGGATTATTAAATGTTTCCCATAAAATCATAATAAAATATTTTCTTTCCTCTCGCTTATGCGATCTCTTCGATGTTATATATATTTTTTTTTTTTTTTTTCATGAAAGCTCGATTATATTTAAATTTCTTCGAGAGATCGTATTATATTATTTACTGAGAGAAATCGAACGATCTTTGACGATTCATAAAAATCGTCTAAATTAACATATACATTTTGATATAATCGAAATTCCATAAGTATATACATACGAAAAGTTATAAACTAGAATATTATGACGGCCTCACTGTGTGTATACCAGCCGCAATAAAGTCCACTATGGCTGCTTTTTTATCCCTTATGTCTAACGATTTTTGTCGTAAAATCGATTGATAAACGGCCTCCACGGATTCGTCACGTGCATCGTTTCTTTTTTCGATTATCGTTGCTTCCATTAATTCCGAAATTATACTGAAAAAAAAATAAACAAACAAAACGAAATCTTTTTAAGACGAATACAATTGATTTAGGTAATATACAAAATGGACGTTTTTGAAAAAAATGAGTTTAAAAATTTGGTAAAATCATATCGTGATTTCTTGTATCATCGGTTATAGAACATCTCTTATATATATTATAATATATTATAAAATATAAATTAATTAAATATTATAATATAATATATTATAATATTATATATAACTATTACTATTATATTATTATATTATAAATATTTTATATTTTATATATAATATATAATATTTGTATATATAATATTATTATATTAAAATTAATATTATATTTATATTATTATTATTTTTATAATATTTATATTATAAATTATTATATTATTATTATTATTATTATATATTATAATATTACATATATTGTATTGTAATATAATATAATATATGTTATTATGTATATATATAGGAAAATTAAAGTTCAATTATTTTATTTGATTTTATTTGATCATTTTAATATAATATATATATTTTCTATTCATTTATTCAAATTATTTCAATAAAAAAAAAAGAAAAAAAATATGAAAAAAAAAAAATGCAAAAATGATAAATATTCGATACTAACTTGTAAATAGCATCCTCGCTCTCAATCAGCTGTTTGTATGCGGATGTGGGTAGCACCTTCCAAAGCGGCAACCCATAAAAGGCATCTCGGGAGGCCGTGAAATGAATTCTAACTGCTTCCGCTAATCTTGTAGTAAGCGTGTCGCTCGAATCCGGCTTTAAGAAGCCAAGATGCCGACCCAGAATCAACGTGCAAGTACCTTTCGGAAAATAAGAGTTAAGATATTAATAATTCTTCCATTTCCATTTACTTCGATAATATATATTAGAAGGATTTTTGTTCAATTAAAGATAATATCATTAAAATCACGTTCACCTATTCAATTTTAAAAACTTCAAAAACAAATCAGTAATTTGATTGAAAAAAAAAAAAAAAGAAAAAAACATTTTTATAAACGATGACCATGAAAATAAAAAATAAAACAAATAAAAGTAAATAAAAAGGAAACGTGCAAATGTTCGATATTTCATACGAGAAAGGAAATATTGTGTTTTATTTTAAAGATCAGATAAATATACGTAGATTCGATTATATCCATTGAAAAATATATAATAATATTATTATTATTATTATTATATATATATTTATTATATATTATATAATATATTATAATAATATAATAATTCAACAAATTAAATATATAATATTAAATAATAATATTAAATAATAAATTTAATAATATATAGTATAATTATATATATTATTATTATTTATAGTAATTAGTATAGTATAATTTTTTTATTAATATTAATATTTAATATTAAATAATAAATTTTTTTTTAATAATATTCTATATTATTAAATATATAATATTAAATATATATATATATATATATATTAAATAATAAATTTTATATTATTATTATTTATAATAATTAGTATAGTATAATTATTATATTAATATTAATATTTAATATTAAATAATAAATTTTTTTAATAATATTCTATATTATTAAATATATAATATATGGTTGACTTTTTCAACATGACACACAAGTTCGAAAAGTTGTTTGTTATTCAAACAAAATGACTAACTTATTTCATATTCATTAACCTAATAATTATGCAAATTGAGGGCTCAATTTAATAAATATAATTTTTTGTTATATAAAAAAAAAGAAACAAAAAAGAAAAAAAATTGGATCAGAAAAATATCTGTCCATTTCATTCGTAAATTTAATCTGACAGCCCAATGCAAAATGTAGTCTCTGTCGATTAATTAAATATACGAATTATGAAATATTCGATTTTAATTACTTGAATTTATTATATTAAATGAGAGATATTGATCATTTCATCAAAAAAATAATTACAAACGTGTGAAACATCCACGTAGAAGTAGGTTTTTTTTTTTTCATATCGCAAGAAAAAAAAAGAAACGATTAAATAAAGTGAAGAAGAAGAAAAAGAAGAAAAAGAAGAAAAAGAAGAAGAAGAAGAAGAAGAAGAAGAATGAGAGGAAGAAGAAAAAACGGAAAAAAAAAAAAAAAACAAGAGATGATGATAAACTCACTCTCGAGTCCCATTTTATATGCGAGTTCTTCGAATCCCACAACGCCAAACATGGTTCTACGTTTTCGTATGAGCTCGATGAAACCGTCGCAGACGATATTTAGAGCAGGAAAGAAGCCGAGAACCGTGCTAGCACCAGTGAGTTCCGGAGTTAGAGCAGAACGAAGCTTTTGCCAAGTCTCGCCTTGTCTGTGTGTGTTTGTGTGCAGGGTTGCAGTGTTTTTTTTTTTATTTATTTGATGATGACGATGGTGGTGGTAGAAAAACGGAAAAAGAAACAAAACAAACAAACAAATAGGAAAAAATAAAAAAACGGGATAGAAATTAATCGTGACACATTGTATTGGATCTTAACGATGTGAACAATTTGATTGGTCACGTCGATCATGTCTCATATTTGAATTTTTTTTTTTTTTTTTACTCAAAGACATTAACATAAATATATATATATGAACTAGAAATTTGTAAGAAGAATGTAAATGTGTTAATGACACATTGATTGTTTCAATCTAAATCGATTTTGCAACACAACGTTACCAATCAAAATGTTAATTAACTTTTAAATGCATGCTTACGAAGAAGTAATAAATGTCATATATTTAGTTAGTGATTTACGAATGCAACAATGTTACTTTTCTATTTCATTTTTTTTTTTTTTTTTTTTTTTTTTTACATAATTTATTACAATTTTATAGTAATAAACATAAACGCGAGCAAACAACGCGATCGATAAAAAAAATATATATAACTACTTGTAAAACCCGTATATTCCCGTTTTCTTTTTTCTTTTTATTAATAATAAAAAAAAAAAAAGAAAAAAAAAAGGAGTCATGCATCAAGGAATTAAATACAGCGTAAAAATCGATTATACTTACTCATTTACGAGACCAAGATTAGTATATCGATCACGTCGCGAGTGTCGATAGTGCGATATGACTTCTTGAGGAGGACGAAGAGGATATCTTGATCCTTTCCTAAGTATCAGCTCAATGTCATGGCGAGAAAATACCGATATAACTGGCCAGTTCCATAATGCCTCCTCCTTGCACAAGCCTCCGTAGCGTCGATTCAGATCTACTCTTAAATCATGGATTATAGGGCTGGTCGATATCGAGGAACAACGATCTTTCTCATTCATTCAAAAGGTTCGATAATATTACTTTATTTGTACGTAATTGATATTTTCTTAGTTCGAATTTTTATATATATATTAAATAATAATATTAATATTTATATTTAATCCATTTCGAACGCGTGTCCACTCTCAGTCACCACACAAGAAACTGTGTGCTAATCTTATATATAAAGATATATATATATATATTTATTATATATTAAAATAATTATTAATATTATATATTTTTATATTTTTTTTTTATATAAATAATATTAATAATATAATAATAATAATAATATAACAATATTATTATTATAATATAACAATATTATTATTATTATTAAATTATAAATAATTTAATACTAATATTATTTATTTATTATATTATTATTTATAATATTATTTAATTTATTAAT